ATGAGATAATATCAACCAGGGGCAAATAGTCAAAAATTCTTACCCCAGACAATTATGTTATTTAGATCATTAACTGCTTTACCGACAGGATAATATTAACCAATGACGGGTAAAATTTTTTTCACCCTAGACAATTATAATGTTTATATCGCTAATCGTTGTGTCGATAAAATAATATTGCTCAGAGATATATTGTTTTGTTGACCATGATTCTTAAGAAGACAGATGTGTATGTAAAAGTATAAAGTCAAAGTAAAGTTAAAGTTTGTGTCGATAAAATAATATTGCTCAGAGATATATTAAGTTTTGTTGACCATGATTCTTAAGCAGACAGATGTGTATGTAAAAGTATAATGTCAAAGTAAAGTTAAAGAAAATGCATATAGATGTTTTTGATATTTTTATTGAGTAATTTCATTGATACATGCATTAGTATATTCAAAGAATTCTTCTAAAATATGAAATATCAACATAATCCAAGATTTCTTATAGAGATAAGAAAAACCAGCATGCATATTGATTTCTTTTCCTTGGATTATTGTAGTTTAGAAGTTTGATTACTCCTGAGTTATCTTTAGATAACTCATTATGTTGCTTTAATATTTATGTAAGTTTTATGCTTTTGAAAAAGATGAATAAAGATGATCAAATGTGCATAGGAGGCAAGAAGAACAATCGAAAAAGTGTAAATTTCTACTTATTAATTTTAATTGATATCATTATAAACTCTTTCATAAATATTTAAATATTAAACAATAGTGATAGAAATAGAATATCTGAAAATTGATTTTTACTATTCGATTGTCCGTTCCCATCTTGTTTAATTCCAAGCCACGAGTTAGATCGTGACATCAATAATACAGTGGAACAACCCAACTACAATAACATTACTCAAAGGAATAGTAATTAAGTATAATTTCTATCTTTATTAGAAAAGAAACATGGATAATTAAGGAAAACAAATTTAAGTTAAAAAAAGCTTTTATTAAAAAAAAAGTCAAGATAAAGAAATATTATATTTATGTGTATTGGAAAATTATTATACTAATGACAAGATTCTTAAGAGTTAGAAGCTAAAGCAAAACATTTGAAATCTATGTCAGAACATAAAGGCAAGGAAGTCGCCAAAAAAATTGAGAAGCAGCTCACATTTTTGAATTGTCGTAATTATGTTTATTTTTTCTAAACCAAATGCGTTTGATAATTGTTTACATAGATTGAAATTGCAAACGTATTTGTGGTATAATTGTAGTACAAGATGTATTGGTTATATAAAAATGTATTGATACCAGAGTTAACCAAAAAATAAGGAAAATGCAACTTTTATCATGGAAAAAACAAATATGAATCATAAGAAACACTAAAATAGAAAATACAAGACACTCAACATAAACATCAAACTAGGGCTGAATTGAAGGAGGTTGGAAAGTGGCGATAAAGTGCTATGGAAACAAGGTGTGCGAGGCGGCTGGCAACTGAAATGTGGCAAGGAAAAAGGGGCCTGCAGGTAGGGCAGCAGCAAGGAGAGGAAGGAGTTAGCAGTAGGAGACTAGCAGACAAGGCAGCAGCAAGGACGAGATGGAGATAACAGCAGGGGAGTGGAAGGCAAAGAAGGCTGGCAGTAAGGAAACAGAAAGCATGGAAGGCTGGTGGCAGGGAAACAACAAGCAGCAGGCAGAGCAGTCTAGCAGGGCTGCAGCAGCAGATCAGACAGTTGGAAACTTAGAATGAAGGAGAGGGGAAGCAAGGATTGATAAATAAACACCACCCCAACATGAGCTACAACCAGGGCACCTTCATGCCTTCAAATACAGCGCCTAGAAGGCAGAATTGGAATCTCCGACAATTATCCCGACAGAAAAAAAAGAGCAAAACTAAACCTAGAACACAAAATACATATAAATACTATTAAACAACAAATGAATGCCCCCCACATGTTGGGAGGCAACTCCAGACCCTAAGAGACCGGTCAAGCCTCACGTTCCCCATCTGTACCGGTTCAATTGGCCATAGCTCCTAGCTGATGCAGTCTTCACATTTGTGTCACCTATATTACAACTTTCTCAACATGCTTACAGATATTGAATTATTATAGAAATATTACGAATAAAATGAATATGTAAATGAAATGAACTTTATAGAATATTTGTATGTGAATGTTGCCTAATGAAGTTCATCTCTTTATGGTAGTCGCTATAAACGCTAGAATACCCAGACAAGTAAACTGAAAAAGGATATTGATAGTAAAGTACTTTAAATAAAATATTTAAAGCAATGCTCCTATAATGAATGTAAAATATAAATAGGATATAATATTATCGTTATTAAAAAAATTTAATCTTTTAGATGACCATAATTGAACGAATAAAAAATTTATTATGATTTAATAAATTTTAAATAGTCTACACACCGTCTCTTCAATTCTTTTATGTTACTTTAACTTTATGACAATTCATTGAATTGTCGACAATTCTTCAAGTTTTAAAATAATAAATTTCAGAATTTTATTTTTAGAAAGTAAGTGGAAGAAGAGGAAAGATTTATAGAAGATGCAATCAAGATAGAGAAAAGTAAGTTCCTTCATGAATGTTTTCTTTAAAACTAAGTTGAATTTTTATTTCGTTAGTGACTCTTTCATTTCACAGGATATTTAATACTAAATGATAGTAACTGAAACTGAAATTTCAACATCTGATTGTCTATTCTTACCCGTGTTGGATGATGAAATATATAATTAAAATCGAAGTGGCATCAATGTACTAGAAATGTACATAGGCAAAAGCATTATGGATATAGTTACTAAAGCAAGGCCGCAAAAATTCATGTGCTTACCAAGTGAATGTATTTCCTCAAAGTCATTCAGATAGCGGGAATTCATAAGAGATGACACATTATCCCCACTAAAAATGTTGGCAGGCTTCCAAAATTCAGAGATTCTAGAGGCATTCTACATACGGAAGTCCAAAGAAAAATATCAGCACCACCCAATTGTTGCTCACACAAAGAGGAGAAACAAAGAAACACGAGCACAAAGATAAGCTAACCAAATGATGCTCAAAAGCATGACTAAAAACTTTACTAAAAGTTGAAGGAGAACCATTAGATAGATCCTTGGCCCAGTCTGAAATCATCTGAATCGTTCCAAATTAAATGAAGGATAAACTAAACATAAGCTTGTTGGAAATGCAAGGAAACTCATCGCTAGAGTAGATATATGACATACCCCCAAGTTGTATAACTCTGATGAAATTAGTGGCAAATCATGAGAAAGTGCTCCACCAGAAGAGCAAGCAAGGTGAAGTAAATGCACCTAAGATTAAGTAAAAACAACTAAGACAATAAATTATGAAACTACTACAAATCAAAATCATCAGAAGAACAGCTACCTACCATAAGCAGATCCCTCTTCCTGCGATGAGATTCAGACTCCTGCTTCCCTGCACTGGAATATGAATTGCAAGATTTTTCATCTAAATCCAAATCATCAGAGTCCTCTTTCATCAGAAGTTCAAGATCCTGCAATCAAACCAAGTGCTGAAATGTTTGACAAAGGACACAAGCAATATGTAGAAAATCTAATCATTATAGAGTGGGGATGCGTAAAAAGAGCCATGGAATATCAGGTTGACACTAGTATGCCATTTGGTGTAACTTGCATTTTGTATTTTTCTAAAACGTTTATGGCTCTTCTTGGACACCACCAAGATACCACCTATAAGACATATGCCACATCAATATAATTGTATGTCAAATCAACATTATTTATACTCCACTCAATCATTCACTGCTGGGTATAGTAGGACAGAATTTGACCACCTTCAACCTAGTGAGAGATATTGGCATAGCAACAGAAGATATCCCAAGTTCAATGGTTAACCTAATTAATCAATATCACTAAACACCAGTAACTTGATGTATTCATAAGTTTTGCAGTAAAATCACACATATAATCCTTCTTCTGGATATTAATAATAATACATCTAGTTATTAATATCTTACACATGTATATAGAATGTAATTTATAAATACCACCACTTATATGTGTCTATAAGCTCAGTATTTTTCGCCCCATGTCAGGAGCCCATGCTAAAAAGTTGATTTCGGATAAATTTTAATTTAGAAAATCAGAACCTACAATCACCCTATATTATCAGTGGTTCTCTGGTAACAGAAAGAACACAACTAACAAACTAGATTGTAACTTACCGTTTACATAGATTTCGTAATAATAATAATATTTTTTTCATTACTTAAGTAATAATTAATTTAAATAGATTAATTAAATTAGTTAACAAAAGTATAAAATAAATTAATAATTAAAGCAAAGTTAATTATAAATGAACCCACAATTAACTTAATTAGATAAAGATAAAAAAAATATTGAAGAAAATGGGGATATTTATGACACCTATTAAACAGGTTTTGTTATTTACCCATAGAGGCATCGTTACCATCCCATGCAACCAATGATCAAGAATTTTATGCACTCAGTTGAGCAGAAAAGGGGTTGAGTGGAATAGAGAGTACAAAAAAGAAGAGCAAGAATGAATGGGAGAGGAAGAGCGGCCCACCCCGCAGGAGAGCGCTAGCTCTCGACACGAGCAAGACCACCCATGCTTGTCTACAGCAAATTGCAAAGGAGGCGAGCTTGGTAGTGAAAAAATCTCAGTTTATCATCCTTTAGGGATTTGGTGTGAAGACTCAAAATAGAATGAGATGAATGAGTTGAGGTATGTATGCCAACTCAAAGACCGTTTGGAAATTTTCCATTTGAGAGCTAAAATAGTTATATGCATGTATATGTTGCCTTAATACAAATCCTAAGTTAATACTATGATTAGCTATTCCAGTAATTTTTTTATAGTTTTGTTAGGAAAAAAAATAGAAAAGTCAGAGAGGGAAATAGGGAATAATGAGGTACTCATAAAGTATTATTGTCATATGTGAATTTTAGAGGTTTTCCTAAATATAGATGTATTTAAATTTTCATACGTAGGTTATAAACCCCTATGTTTAAAAGTAAGATTAGCTTGTCGATAACTCATTCATGCCAAAAATGGAACTTCACTAAAATCTGAAATTTAATTTATCTATTAATCATATATTACGATAGGTATTAAAACTCATTGATGAAATAAATTAACATTTTGAAAAATATATAAAATAAATTCGTTAAATTAATTTTTTCAAGATGAGATAAATAAATTTGTTCTTCTATTACCAGAGCATATATTTATATAAATATGTACCTACGTATGGATATATGTATCAACGTACGTATGTTTGTATCTAAGTACATATGCATGTATTTATCTACCGACAAATGTATGTATGTATCTATTTGTACATACGTATGTGTATCTGTCTGTGCCTAGGAGGGGAGTATAGTTTCATCAAAAAAGCTAACAAAAAAAGTGGAAAACCCACTATATTTATTTTTGATAATGAGAATGCTATCCTTGCCTTTTCTTGTTGATTAGCTCTGGTGGGGAAGTTTTTGTACGAGCATCCGACGCTTGAAATCATTAGGAGGGATTTCGAGTTTAGTTGGAAGATCGGGCTTTTAGATTGTTGACATATCCTTATTCAACTCACCAGTGAGGAGGATTACACGAGGCGCTCTTTGCTAGGAGGCTTGTGCAAATAGACAACAGAATAATGAAAATTCTCAAATGGTCGGTGGATTTTGATCCACAAACTAAACCTCCTATTATCTCGATCTGGATTTGCTTTCCTGGCTTGAAATTCCATTTGTTTAACCATAAAATTTTATTCTCCATTACAGCAATATTTGGCAAACCATTAAAAAGATGGATTCACCCACCTTTACTCTATCTAGGCCCACAGCGATCAGAATCTTAATTGAACGTGATATTACACAAAATGCTCTGGAAGAGGTGTGGAAATTTTTTACACATACGGATATTGGCAAAGGGTGATTATTGGATGACACACTCCATATTATGCTAATTGTACGAATTTTAGTCATAGCTCTACACATTACTATTATTTCCATCCAAAATTAAAAAAAAGTGAATAACATAGGTAGGAACTCTATGCCCAGTATTGAAGTAAACACAGAAAACGGGGTGCTTGAGGATTGTGTCAACTTGACTAACTCTGTTGATGTGGGTGCTGCTAATATCGATGAAGTGGAGGATGATGTAGTTCGGGGTAGGGATTTGTCTTAGGGTCTTCTGTGAATGAGGTGGTTTTGGTTGATGATGTGGGGGATACCTCTGTACACATTGAGTTTGTGGTGGGTGGCATTGATGATAGGATATCTAGGGTTGCTAGTTTTTTGGTTGCTCCAGTTGTTGGTAATGTGGGCTCTAGTACTCATGATAAATTGGAGGATACTAAAAACATCTTGAGGGGGGAATGATAGGTAGAAAGTACAGAAGGAAAAAGAAAAAAGGCTTCTGTGAACTACAAAATTTGAAAGTGAAAAATGTTCTGTAGAGGTGGATCATTATTATTCTGAAGGTGATCAACAATGTGCCCTGACTAGGTTTACTAGAAAGGGTAAGTTATCTCATCATGTTTAATATACTAATTTGGAATATCAAGGGAGTAGTGGATCCTTACTCTTATGGTAGGTTAATGACAAGGGTGCACAAAGTTGATATTTTTGCAATTTTGGAGCCTTTGGTGTCCTCAAAATGATATAATATTAGGTAAATTCAAACATCTTCTCTTTTTTGACAGCAGCTCAAACAAGATCTGGTTGTTCTTGAGGAAGCATATTACAATCAACATTATTATTGTTGATAGTCAATTTGTTCATGCATATTTTGAGATAGGTGATTCCTCTGGGTGGCTTACTGTCGTCTATGTTGGCACTTCTAATCCTACAAGGAATGAACTGCGGAGTAAAATTAGGAGCATGGGGTTTTTGCTTAAAAAAGGTAGATGGTTGAGGATGATTTCAATATGAACACGCATAACTCTGAGAAACTAGGTGGCAGAAGAGTTGACAAAACCTTGCATAATTTCTGTGGGGCTATGGCTGATGCTGGTTTGCATGATCTATGTTTTGAAGGCTCCAAATATACATAGAAGAGATGAAAGGTTTTTGAACGTTTGGAAAGGTGTTTGGCAAACTAGGATTGGTTATGCTCTTATGTTTTCTCTAAATTACAACATTTATGTAGCTCCGATTCTGATCATAACCCTTTGCTTCTATCGTTTGACTTTCTCAAAAAATTTCTAAATATCATTTCAGGTACTTGAATGTATGGTCCAAACATGACGATTTTCCAAGAGTTGTTACTGAGAATTGGAAATGCATTGAATTTGGTAGTGCTTGGTATACTCTTTGAAAACTTCACAAGAAGGTTGTTGCTGCTTTGAGACCTTGAAACTGATGCACATAAAGAAAAGGTTAGAGCTTTGCAGCTTGTTGATGAATCTAGTGATGAGGTGGTTTCACAACTAAATGATGCACATAAAGAGCTTTTCGAAGCTTCAGTTTGGGAGGAGGCCTCTTACAACAAAAGGTTGAAGAGTTACAATTTAAAGGAGATAGAAACACTAAATATTTTCATGTTTGCAACAAGCAAAGGAGAGCTAATAGCACTATAGTTAGAATAAAAAATGAGCCCAGAGATTGGATTACAGGTAACCAAGAACTGAGGGACTATGTTGTTCAATATTTCTTAAATATGTTTGACGCCAAAGATACATTCAGTAGTATTGATAAGAGCCTTTTTTTGGGAGAGAAGCAGTATACTAGTGAGTTGGAATAATGTAATATCCCATCGGGTGACGAAATTTTTGATCTGTTATCTTACTTTAATCGTAGTAGGGCCCCCGGCCTTGATGGTTTCACCTCGGATTGTTATATTAAATGTTGGAGCTTAGTTAAAAAAGTAGTAAATGTTATTCAAAGTTTCTTTAGAGGAGATCTTGGGAATTACTTTTTTGTTGCTGCTATTATGTTTATCCCCAAAACTAATCAGAAAACATCTTGGGAGCATTTTAGTTCCCTTATCTCGCTAAAGTCCAAATTTATTAGCAAAATTATTGTTAAGAGGTTACAGCCTCATTTGAATATCTTAACATCGAAGAATCAATCTGCTTTCATTCATGGTTGAGGGATCGCTGACAGCATCATGTTGACACACAAAATGCTTTATGACATTGATAAGAAGCACAAGGGAGGAAATATGGTGACTAAATTGGATAACGAAGAGGCATATGATTCTATTAGTTGGGAATTCATAATTAAAATCTTGAAGAAAAGCTAATTTTTGTAATATTGTGGTCAGATGACTAGATTGCAACAAGTATAGTATCCTCCTCAATGGAAGCTCCTTTGGTTTCTTTAGTGCGGGCAGAGGAATCAAGCAAGGAGACCACTAATCCCTAACAGTTTTTATATTGTATTTAATTATTTTTTCAAGATGCTGAGTGATCTAATTTTGAGATCTCCTAACTTGTAATTTTGCCATAAGTCTAAAGTGGTTGTTAGCCATTTAGCTTAATGTGATGATGTCGTTCTATTTGCTAATGCA